TCGTTGTGGCCAAAGCACAGGACCCGGCACTTGGCCTTGTTGAACCTCATCCCGTTGGAATCAGCACAACTCTCCAGTCTGTCCAGGTCCCTCCGCAGAGCCCTCCTGCCTTCCAGCTGATCAACACTCCCCCCCAGCTTGGTGTCATCTGCAAATTTGCTGATGGTGGACTCAATCCCCTCATCTAAATCGTCAATAGAGATATTAAACAGAACTGGGTCCAACACTGATCCCTGGGGGACACCACTAGTGACCGGTCACCAACTGGATGCAGCACCGTTCACCACCACTCTCTGGGCTCGGCCCTCCAGCCAGTTCTTAACCCAGCACAGAGTGCCCCTGTCCAAGCCGTGGGCTGCCAGCTTTTTCAGGAGAATGCTATGGGAGATGGTGTCAAAGGCCTTGCTGAAGTCCAGGTAGACCACATCCACAGCCTTCCCCTCATCCACCAGGCGGGTAACCTGATCATAAAAGGAGATCAGGTTGGTCAGACAGGACCTGCCCTTCCTAAACCCGTGCTGGCCGGGTCTGATCCCTTGTCCATCCTGTAGGTGCTGTGTGATTGCACTTAGGATGATCTGCTCCATAACCTTGCCAGGCACTGAGGTCAGGCTGACGGGCCTGTAGTTTCCCGGGTCCTCCTTCTGGCCCTTTTTGTGGATTGGTGTGACATTCGCCAACTTCCAATCACCTGAGACCTCCCCAGTGAGCCAGGACTGTTGGTAGATGATGGAGAGCGGCTTGGCGAGCTCTTCCGCCAGCTCCCTCATCACCCTTGGGTGGATCCCATCTGGTCCCATAGACTTGTGAGGATCCAAGTGGCTCAGCAGGTCGCTAACTGTTTCCTCCTGGATTACAGGGAGGCTATTCAGCTTCCTGTCTCTGTCTACAAGAATACACAGATTTGGGGCTGTCACCATACTTGGCTCCAACATCATTACTGTTGTTCATCTGGCTTTTCTCCTGGGAAAAGGAGAGAGGTGAAGGAAGCATTGTTTGTGTTTTTATCCTCTTTTCTTGAAGTGATAATGTAGGCTAAGAACCATCATTTAAAACTACCTGGCTTAATTTGATTGTTATGATAATCTTAACATTAAGTCACATTTAATAAAAGTAATAGCTCCTGAATAACAGGATAACTAATACACTAAATAATAATAATAATAACACCAATAACTAATAAAAACACTAATCGTACTTATTATTATACTAATAATAACACTAATAGCTAATAATACAGGATAACTAATTAACTGTAATAATTGAAAACCTATTTGAAGAAAGCATTTTAACATTTCCAATATTTCACAAAACTGCAGAGCAGCCAGTTATTTTTGTCTAAATACTGCAGCTATGCCATTCTGGAGACTTTAGTCTGTCAAATGCAGAGCCGTTTCATAGAATATAAAAATTAATCTGTTTTGATAATAGGTTTAGAATGCGAGGGTAAACGTATGTTCAGAATTATGCATGTGCCATCACACAGCAGGACAACTCACTTGGGCTGAGCTACAGGAGAGAAGCAGGAGAGACTGGCAGCCGCCCTCCCTGCAGTACAGGTTGCTCTAAGCCAGGCTCAGCCCAGGCAAAGGCACCCCGGATAAAGTGCAATGTGCAGAGCTGTCTGCGGTGCTGAAAAGGAGGCAGAGGGCACACACCCCAACCTCACCCCTTATATACTGAAAGTGCTTCTGTTCCTCTACTGCTTATAAACTAAAAAAGAAAAAAAAAGAAATCAAACAAACAAAAAACCCCCAACAACCCCCACATTTATCTCACACCCGTATAATATTCTTGTGAAGAATCCCTATAAGTCTTCTTAAATCTCCCTTCTAACTCCATTAAAATATGATGTTCAGCAGGTCTGGGACAAGCAAACTCACAGTTTGGGTTAACTGATGAGCTGACTGTTTTCAAAACAGAACACACCGGCAAGGTCATTTAAATGGACAGACTACAGTCACCTGCTATACTGTTAGGCACTACCATAGAGTTGCTTGCAGCATGGCTGCTCAGACTTCCTACCAAGAAATCAAGGGCACAGACTACTGACAAAAAAAAAAAAAGGAATAAGCTGATTTTGGTTAGCAGACATTTTATATCACCAGATGCTTCTAAATATTAAATCTGCAAGCACTACTAATTGCTAAACTTTCATCTTATTTCCCAACATATTTTAGTTCATGTTTTGCAGGAAAATCTACTTTTCTTTCAGGTAGGTCTGCTTCTATCAGACTATGAAACATACCACACTGCGGGCAAAATACATTGCTGTTCTGTTCTGTACAACAAAATTTATTGTCTTGATGAATTCCTACAAATTTACACTATACTTACAGATAAAGTCTAAGTACCTTTCTGAGAATAAGGAAGGAATGATCAAATTTGAACAAGGTCAGCAAACAGCTGGTGCTCCAGGGGACAGTCAACCATCTATGGGCATGATTCTACAGATCCGATTCAAAAAATATTCCACTGCACATAGCAGGATATTTTCCCGAATTAAAGGCAAGTATCCCTTCAGAAAACAGTCAGTTTTAAAGATTATTTTAAAACCGTTACATTATCGGGCTTATGCAGTATTTTCTTCCACTTGGAGTAGGTTCTGTGCATTTCTAAGCTAAAATATTTTAAAGATAGTTTTTGTTTTCAGATTTAAGGTGCAACATAAATTTAGCACCATAGATGGATGCAAATATTTCTGTGTGTTTTTCATCTTATTTTTTAAAAAGTCAAGTGTGCATATATAAACATACTGTGCCTAAATTAAAAATCTGTCAGATATCTAACAGCTAAGGGTGGTACAATGGCCTTTCCTTCCAATAGTGTCCTTGAAAACAAAACTTCCCTTCATTTTCAAGATGAATGACAGAGCCCCTCGGAGCTGCAGCTTACTCCGAGCTCTGACATGAGTCCTGCAGCCTACAGCATCTCTCAGACAAAAACATAGAGTAGTACTGTTTTACAAACAGGTATGCTTGTATTCTAAACTGTCAGGCAGTGTTGAAAACTACATTAATTTTGATTAAGTCACATGATTGCACAACTCCTTCCATGTAGTCTCATACATAAAGGAGTTCTTTAAAACGATCAATTAAAAAAAATCAGAAATACAACTGAAGTTTTTTAAAAGATTGATTTTTCTGATCTATAACAAATCTCTGAAAGAATGAAAATGTGTATCCAATTAGCTGGAAAAAATTATGCAAATGTTGGAGTAACTACTTACTGTAAGCTTACACATACAGAAACCTACGCCTTTTTGGTTATGTTGTGTATTGTTTTCTATTTAAAGTTTCTTGAAAATACATAGAATAATTCAAATCCTTACAGAATTTGGGTTTTTTTCAACTTTGTTCTTAGTGCCTCAAGCAACACTTATAGCAAGGTACACTGGAGAACAAGGCTCCCACATTGCAGCAGATACATTTATTTATTTTTACACAAATAAAGAAACCTCTTCATCAGTTTTTCAATAGTTTATAGTGATACTCTGTCACCAGACATTTATTGAGTACAATAATCTTAAACAGCTGCCCATCTTTGCTATCAATGCAAAGAAACTGGGTTCTGAGACAGAAATAGTGTTTTTCATATATATGGACCGCAGGACGGGATCCCATTTGGCAAAGTCTTCAGTAGTGCAATACTTCTCTAACAGTAGTCTAAGGAGGAGACTATGGTGCCCTTTCATATTAGAACTACAGCATAGAAGAAGGGTACTACAAAATTCTTAATTTCTCTTTTTTGCTAATTGGTACCGCTGAAAAAAAAATGTTCCTGCCCTTGAAAACTGTCATTTCTGTCTGTAGCCCAAGGTATCTCTAATTAGACATAGCAAAGCCACCAATGTATCCACAAATAAGGTATTTTTCACTTCGAAACTTTGAAAACTCTCTCTTACATGTTTCAGTTTAACTGAAATGTCAAATTGTAATTTCTTAATTTAAAAAAAAAGACAACTGAAATTAGAACTATGTGGGAGCCCAAACCCAGCTTTCAGCAAAAGGAAAACAAAGGCTGACAAAAACCTCATGATCTGAAGGAGCTGGACCCTTCTCACAAGACCTGTTAAAGTTCTACCTTATGGATTAAGCCTGGCTCCAGCAGAAATCAGAAAGGACTTTTTGAGATGATTGTTAAAATCATGTCTAAACCCCTGTAATCCCTCTATCCCCCATGTAACCCTACTAGAAGAAAAATTAACTATTTGGAAACTGCAGCAAAAATTTGTGCAACTCCCCAATTAACATAGCCTGTCCCCTTCATTAACATGTCCAGCCCCAGATGCCTTTAAATTGTGTTCTCATGTTCAATAAAGTATTCCAGTTTCCCCAAACTGGGATCGTCTAGCTTTTATTTTTCAGACCGCCACTGAACTAAGTACCTGGGACAGGACGTGTGACAGTATTTTTATACTTACTCTACAGCTTTGATCATTAAATTCCCCCTACCTTTAGCCTTACCTGTCTTCACAGCTTTCCTCTGTCACATTTCCTAGTGACTGTAATTTCTATGGCATTAAATAAAACAAATCCAACATAAGGTTTTCCCCTCTTTTTAAATATTCTAGTGTATGCTAGTATCTGAAACAGCACAGTGAAGATTACATACCTAGAAGTTATTGATGCCTCTTTCCTAATACTTAGCCCTGCTATCCAGAGAAAATGCACAGCATGACATTTAGTCACTGGGAAATAAGACTGTTGCCCTACATCTGCTACAGAAAATAGCAGGTATGTCATAAAGTGTGCTATAACCTCAGAACTAAGTGATCCTACTAGCATAATCGCAGGTAACAGTCCCAGCAGGCAACGCAATCTTATTTCTCTCCAGGGATGAAATACATTCACTGAACTTCAGGAAGCATTAAGTGATTATTTTTGTTTTCTGAATCAGCAGGAAGTGCAAAGTACTTACCACAATAAAGCCTTTAGAAAAACTGACTCTGCAACCACAGATATGTAAACACTCAGCAATTCATAAAGTTAATTAATTACCTGAATTTCCCTTGCATGGTATACAATAATGAGCCCAAGCAAGATAATCGTGGAGAGGCTAATAAGACATTTCAGAGCGAGGGAATACAGAGACTCCTGCAACAGAAAGACACCACTGTCCATCAGAGACACACACGCGGAATCGTTCCCGCACCGCCAGGCTCCCCAGCCCCACTGCGAGCAGCGGAGCCCGAACTGGGAGGGGAGGGAAGATCGCCTCGCCTTACAGTGTCGGGGCCGGAGGGTGCCTCACGGCGGGGCCAGGGAAGGGGGACACCTCGCCTCACGGTTGCGGAGCCGCGGGGTGAGCATCTCGTCTCAGGGCGGAGGACCAGTGGGCTCCACACGGCGGTGCCGGGGGGTCAGGGCACCTCTCACCTCTCCTCGGGGCGAGGGACGCTTCCCGGCAGGGCCGGGTGAGGGCTGAACAGTCCCGCCGCGCTGGGCTCTAAGAGAAACGAAGTGATGTCGGGGTCGGGCGGCAGCCGCCTTTCCACGAGGATGACGGCGCGGGGCGGCTAGACCGCAAGAATTTGAACGACTGACAGGAGAGTGCAGCCGGCTGCGGAGCCACCTTTCCGCGAGCCCACGGACCGGGACGGACAAGGAGCCCACAGAAGGGGCACGGGGGGGGGGGGGGGGGGGCGTGGGTTGGGCTGCGTCGACCGCGCCGAGAGCGAAAGGAAGGCGGTCCGACGGCGTGGCAGGTACCTTCGTGTAGGCGCCCCAGGACAGCTCTGTCTCGATCACCATGACTACGATGCCGAACATGCCGAAGATGAGCGCGTAGTCGCTGAGGCGCTTGCGCTTCTCGAAGAGCGCCCGGCGGTGCCCCAGCTTGTAGCCGATGTTCTGGTTCTTCTTCTTGCTGGACTTGCCCCCGCCGTTGTTCGTGCCGCCGGAGCCGTAGAACGCCAGGTTGTTGGAGTTGTTGTGCTCGGGCTTGGAGACCACGATCTCCGGAGCAGCGGCTATGGGGCCGACGAGCGGCTGCTGGAGCGGCTGAGACTCGGAGTCAAGCTCGTGCAGGTTCCTGCGGGATGAGCTCAGGTTGCTGAGCGGCCGCATGATGCCGCCGTTGTACCTGCAGCTACTCATGGCTATTTCGGCGAAGGGATTGCTCTCCCGACGCTGCTGGTAGTGGTGATGGTGGGTGCTGCCGCTGCTGACACTGCTGCTGGGACTGGCTGCTTGCTGCTGCTGCAGGCTATGGCACTGGTGGCACTGGTGGTACTGGGGGTACTGGTGGGGCTGTCTGGACGAGCCGGCATGGCTGGAGGGGGTGAGCTCGCTGACGTTCAACTGGCTGCCCTGCCGGGAGGAGGCGGAAGTGGAGAGCGGCGAGGAGTGAGTCCTGAGAGCGCCCGAGAGAGGCGAAGAAGTGCAGAGCAGCGAAGGCAGGTTATCCCCCGCTGCTGCCACAGCGGCCCCATAATAGGTACAGTTGTTGCACTGGAGGCATGGGGTCTGCTGCTGCTGTGGCTGCTGGAGAAGACTCTGCTTGTCCTGGCCCTGCTGCTGCTGCTGCTGCTGCTCAGAGCAGAAGCCCGTCTGGAACTGCAATGGTGTTTCCATGTCGGAGGCGTTAAAGCCGCAGGAGCACCAGGTAGTGGTGGTGCACCCTGCGCAATGCGTTATGGTCGGCAGGGGAGAGGCCTGCTGCCTCCACGAAGGACCCATCCCGGCTTCCGTAGAATCCAGCCGATTGGTCGGGCGGACCAAAACAAGGCGCATCTCGTCGAGGGAGACCGGCTGCGGTGTGAGACGGCGGAGAGATTCCCCATCCGCCCTGCCCCCTCTCGCGCGGGGATCCCGTGTGCTACCACTCCCGCAGGTAGAGGTTACCCTCACCCCCCGCCCCGCCGCCGGTGTGCCCCACGCCACAGAAACTCGAGGGGGCCCGAGGTGGGCGGGGGGAGCGCTCTCTGAGCTCGCTTCCGGGATCGCTCTCTGGGAGGAAAGGCAGTCGCGGCCGGGCTTCCTGGCCCCGCCGCACACATCTGCGCCGTCTCCAGAACATTGGCGCTGCGCTGCGCTCCGGAGCTGTCCAGCGACGCCCCGTCGCTTTCCGGAGACGTGCAAGACAGCAGCGTCCTCGCTCCGAGGCCCTCGCCGCGGTCCCGGGAAGGAGGCGGTTCTCAGGGCCTGGCGCGGCCGGCGCCCAGCACGGAGAGGAGCTGGGCCAGGGTGCGGCCTCAAGCCGTGCCCACAGGCCATCAGAGATGTCACAGGAGATCTCTCCTCTCCTGAAACTCGGGAGAGCCCAGGGCCCACTGGCTTCCAGGGGCCGCAGGGCCCGGGGTGGCAGCGATAGCTAACCGCTGGGGGGCCATCCGAGGCATTTGGTTACATATAGTAATTTCCGATATTTTTCAGACTGTTCCGAAAAATATTTCTGGTATTAAGAGCCTCAAAAATAGCCAAGAGACAGAGGAGCTAACTAAAACTTTTATTCGAATAAAAGGGAGAGTTCACTCGACAATCCCCAATGAGATCTCTCCACTTGATAGAGGTCGCAGCCTCTTTTATCCCCTTTGCCCGAAACGCAGGTCCCTCCCCGTTTCCCCATTGGCTGAGGTACTTCGGGGTTACAGACTTTCCGACACACCTACAACGTGTCCCCCATTACATGGTCATTAGGGGAAGGGTCCCCAACATTTTCAAAATGGAGGTTACTGATCTTTTGCTGCTGATAGGTCCTCTTGTCTCTGGGCAAACTGCACCTTTCTGTAACTGACGACTGAACAAACAGTAACTTGTCACTTCCTCTACTAAATGTAACTACACCACAAACTTTGCAAGAACACCTATTTATACCTAATAAGACCTATAACAAAGGGGAGGATTTCTTTTGGCCACTCTTTTTCTTAACTAAAAAAGGAAGAAACTAGTTACTGGAAGTTTCATAGGGTTTTCGGTCATCACCTGAGGATGCAATACAAGGTGATTTATAGGTTAGGGACTTATTCTAATGGATTACTAGAAGCTTTAACAGTGAAACAGGATCGTTTTCATTATGTAATTGAGTTTTTGTCTGGATCCATTTTCCCGAAACTGTTCCACAGTAATCTTTGTTCATCACCTGCTACCATTTTGCCTCTTCACCTTCCTTTCTCTCCCAAATTCTCACTGAATAATTCATTATGGCAACTCCCTTAGACAGAGCGATGTCTGAACCAGATAAAGTCTTTTTTCTGCATTTATTTAAGGAAAGATTCTTTAAGGAAAGAGTTGTGAAAAAAAAGTTATTTACTTTATAGCTATGTCATTCTCTTTTTTTGAGTCAGGAGGCACTGTCTATGCAGATTGAAAATTCAGCTGTAATATTGCACTTCAATAGCATGGAAGGTCTCTTTACAACTTTAACTTCTCTCAGATATTGAAGAAAAAAATTGCTAGGCCTTTCTAGGATAAAAACCTACATCTGTATAATTTCTAGAACTTGCACAGCAGTTAGTTCAGTTTTCTCTGAAAGTCTGCATACTTGAATGGCTTGCATTTTAAGTAATTTGGACGAAGTACTGTGAATAGCTAAGTTTTTTAATATGCTCTGCTATAAAATTTCATTTACTTAATTTTTAATCAAAGCGTACCTTTTAAAGCAAGTGCATATTGCAAGTATGCAGTCAAACAACTCTCACTAATGTAGTAACCATCATGGTTCTAAAATATAGGTAGATTATTCTATATATTTTACTATTTTTTAAATATTAACAAAATATTTTATATATTTTAATATTTTTTTAAATCTCTGAGTATGTCTATACAGCATAGATTATTTTAGAAGAAGCACTGAGAAATATGAGTCATCGGGAGCAGCTCTCCAGATCACCAGACTAAGGGAGGTTGCTGCCTAGGGGTGGGACTTTTTATGAGATACAGGGGAAAAGCAGTTCAGGATGGGATTGCACAGGACTTACTATGGCGTGTTTAGGGGAGGAACCAAAGGCAGGAAAAGGGAGTGGTTTAGGTGATTTGGGGAGGAACAAGTGTGGACAAATAGAGGGGTAAGGGGATAAAAAAGGACCAGTTGCATGTAAATAGTTTGCTGGTCAGTACACTTGTCTGGCTATGCCCGGCGCCTGATCCGTGCAGTCTGTCCTATCTTCTTATAAAATTCCTTTCTAACTCTTTCCTGGCTGAGGGCTCTCTATTCTGTGTGTATGTGTGTGCACGGGGGGCTGAGCGCAGCAACTGGCATCAGACCATGAGTCAGAGGGCCTGTGTATCCATGGTGCCAGCAACTGGAGCAAGTGCAGGTAGGTGTGTGAGTGAGTGTGATCACTAGTGAAGATCAAGTCTGACTAGCTGGGGAGTAGGTGAAGTGGGCTGGGAGCAAGTGGGTGAGTGAGTCCCTGAGGTCCAGGTCTGGGTGCAAGAGCGCCTGTGTATCTCTAAGGGTGAGAGCATTGGGAGGGGTCAGCTATTGGGACCTGGGAAGTCCTGGCCAGCTCTGTGTGTGTGTGCACACGCGCACAATGGTCTGTACCAGCAACTGGAGTGGGGCTGGGGCCTCGGGAGCTCATATATCCAGGTGCCAGCAGCTGGGGAGACTGGGATCCAGGGGCCAGCTATGAGTAGAATGAGGCTGTTGGTGCTGTCTCTGTTCATGTGAGTGCTCTGAGCATCTGTCAGTGATCTGTGTGGCCAGCCATGTATGTGTGTTGCTGTCGGGACGGACACCACACTAAAAGTTCACGCAGCCTTACTTTTAATACCACAAGTGAAATTAATTTTAGCAAGAAGGCCCCTTTTTCAAGGCACTGTACAGCCTTTTATATACCTGAAATGAAAGTACAATTATACATGTCAGCAAACCTATTGATGTCTTTAAAAGCAGATACCAGAATCGATGATTCACATGAAATCCTGCATGAATCTTCGTATGAATTATTAGGAAATCTTTTCTCTTGCTGAAACAATTAGAAAATACAGGCAAACATTTAACAACAAAACAAAACTTAATATTACATTGTTACAGTAAAAGATTTTGCTGCAAACACAGAAGGCAAAGTATTTGATGATTTTTACTTTATAGTCTCTGGTCTGTTGTTGCTTTGTTCGTCTTCTTGTTCCGTGTGGTTCTTGAAAACTTTTTTTTTGCAAATGAAACTTCATTCAATTTAGGGTTATGTGTTTTCTGTTATTTATGTAAGGGTGTTTGTGTATTTGTGAGCCAAACCAAAACATCCTTTCATGGCTAGGCTTCGCGAACGAAGATTTGGGAAGGGCTCTACCCACGTTTCTTGTGAGCACGTTGGTGGCTAAAAAGGCCAATACGAGAGAGGCATGTCCGGTTGCAAAAGGCACAGCAGAAAGACTCCTTAGGTGGTATATTCTGCAAGGCTCGGTTCTTTCTGCGTTGTCTTTTCTCCTCAAGGGTGATCCTGCGTGCTTTCTCAAAAGCATCAGCAGCGTTATAGATGGTGTGTCTCCAGGCCTCCCGATTGGAGGCCAGAGTAGACCAGTTATGGTGATCAATATGCCCGAGGCTGAGTTGTTGCTTCAGGGAGTCCTTGTATCTTTTCTTCGGGGCTCCTCTCTTGCGGCAGCCAGTGGCAAGTTCACCATAAAGCAGGATCTTAGGGAGGCAGTGGTCCTTCATCCTGGAGACGTGCCCTGCCCATCGCAGCTGCGTTCTCAGTAGCATGGCCTCAATACTTGTGATTGCTGCCTGTTCAAGAACAGATGTGTTGGTCACATAATCTGACCAGTGGATGTTCAGGATTGTACGGAGGCAGCGTTGATGGAAGCGTTCTAGGAGACGCAGGTGGTGGCGGTAGATGACCCATGATTCGGAACCATATAAAAGAGTAGACAGCACTATGGCTCTGTAAACACTGATCTTGGTACTTTTCTTCAAGTGTTTATTACGCCAGACTCTTTTATGGAGTTTTCCAAAAGCACTATATGCCTTTGCTAGCCTGTTGTCTATCTCCCCGTCAATCTTACCATCCGAGGAGATGAGGCTGCCTAGGTAATTAAACTGTTGGACTGATTTGAGTTCTGATTGGCCAATGGTGATGTGGGGATGATGTGGGACTTCCTGAGGTGCAGGTTGATGGAGAACTTCTGTCTTCTTTAAGCTGACTTCCAGCCCAAAGAGCTCAGCAGCATCTGCAAAGCAGGATGTTACACGCTGCAGGGCTGCTTCTGTGTGGGCAACAAGGGCGGCGTCATCAGCGTAAAGCAGCTCCCGGACAAGATGGTTTAGGGTCTTGGTGTGGGCCTTCAGTCGCCTTAGGTTGAATAGGCTTCCATCAGGTGAGTCTGGCTATCACAGCTGCTCAAATTCAGGGCCCAAGCTGTCCACAGCTCAGTCGCCTCCCACATATGTGTGTGTATATATATATATATATATATGTGTGTGCTCTGTGCGTGTCCCTGTTGGGAATGCATTTTCACCCTCGCTACTGTTTGGACCTAGGGGCATGGAGCAGCAGCAGCCTTGCCTCTCTCAGGCCGTTGTGTCCAGCATGATATATTTCCCTCTAACACTCTCTATTGCAGTCAGTTCTCTTGAGCACTCAAGACCAAAAAGGGAAGCTTTTAGTTTTAAGAATGAACATGCTGTTTAACAGAGCTTCAGTTCTTCCAATGTTTTTGAAAAAACACGGTGTCATAATTCTTTCTCACTGGTCCTATTTTGCCTGTGTTTTCAAACACATCCGAATTGCATGGATCTTATGAAAATCTTAGGGAACCTATGTTCTTTTGACTGTGTAGGTAAAAGT